GTAGGTAGACATGCACTGTCGCTGGATCTCATTTTTCATTTTGGGAAAAACTAAAATATTCGGATTCGGGTACAACGGAGGTTCCAAAAATTTCCCAACCCAGTTAACGGGTCTTAAAAAAGCACAAGAAAAGAAAAAAGTAAATCAAAGATGGCCGATTGATTTTTTAAACGAATGATGTCTAGCACAATGAACTAGAGTTAAAAACTGGAATGCGCACACAGTGCCATATCTGCCAAAAAAATGAAGCCATGAAAGACAGATGCCACAACGGGGAATGTTGTTTTTTTCTGTTGCTCGCTAACATATGACGTTTTCGAAAGTTTTGTCATATTTCCCTTCACAGGTTTCATCAATTGGAATACGTGTTGGAAGCAATTTTCGCCATTTAACATAATGAGGGCAACAAAAACAGGTATCCCCTCCGCAGCAGCTGCACTAGGCTTCACGTTCTTCCTTATGTGTTAGCATTCCAGTTTTTGGTTATAGTTCATTGGTCTAGCACAATGAACTATAACCAAAAACTGGAATGCTAACACATAAGGACGAACTTGAAGCCTAGTGCGGCTGCTGCGGATGGGATACCTGTTTTTGTCGCACTCATTATGTTAAATGGCGAAAATTGATTCAAACACGTATTCCAATTGATGAAACCTGTGAAGGGAAATATGACAAAACTTTCGAAAACGTCATATGTCAGCGAGCCAACAGAAAAAAACAACATTCCCCCTTGTGGCATCTGTCTTTCATGGCTTCATTTTTTTGGCAGATATGGCAATGTGTGCGCATTCCAGTTTTTAGCTATAGTTCATTGGTCTAGCAATATTTTTCTTTAATTTTATCGAATTTTGTAATGTCAAAATGTTATGTCAAAAATCCTATCTATGAATCCTATTTATATTCCCGACCAATAAAGAAATAAAAGGTCTGTTTCTGCAGAAATCACAAACTAGTCAGAGCGAATTTAATTGGTTGAAAACAGTCAGAAAACTAGTTTCAACCAATGAAATTCACTCTGATTGGTTTGTGATTTCTGCGGAAACAGGAAACAGACCTAATAATACTACGTCTTAGACATGCCAGGTACGTTTTCGGGATCGAAGCTGTCTTTGCTTTAGTTTTTTTGTTGAAGACCCTGTTATTTTCCGTTTTTTTTTTAACCCGCGTTCTTACGTCGCGCCTTCGCCACAACATGCAGGAGACAAGCCATAAATTGCCAAGGATAATACACACTACTAAGGATTGCTTATCGGCCTCGTTTTTCGTAATCACGGTCATATATGGTGTGGAAACATTATACCGACGTCATTAGATAAGTCGTCAGCTGTTTGCGCCAGCGGTCGTAGTTTAGAATTTAAATTTATGATGAAATAAATTATTCAATTTTGATTTTTGATTAACATAATATGCATTTTGGCGCCAAAATATTGGACCAATAGGAATACTCCCGGATCAACGGACTGGCGGAAAAACGGATGCATGAAAAGTAAGTTTAACCCGTGGTGCAAACAGCCTACGTCAAGGTAAGAAACGATATGCTGCTACGTCACAACTGGTTATTTGGCGTGGTGGGGGGCTTAAGATTTGTTCTACACAGGCCTTATGAGGATAGGCTATCCTGTAGTAGTAGTGTGTATTATCCTTGTAAGATTTGATCTACACAGGCCTCATGGGAAAATTTAAATTTATACATGAGTGAAAACCCAGAGCAGGTAAAGTGCTGTCCTACGGATATAAGGAGTTTGAACGCGCCATTCTGCTATGAAACTAAAGCAAAGCCAAGTTTTTGGAAGGTGTTTAGCGCGATCAGAGATTACAGAGTGTAAAGTTATTCTCATCAGTTGCGTGAAATTCATTATTTTTTGTTAAAAAAAGAGCGAATTTTGCGCAACTGAGAATGAAACTTACCTTGCGTTCGGTATTTTGCTCGAAGAGCAGAGCGTGCAGAGCGGAGCCGTAACCACGTGACCAGCGAGCGAACAGAGCAGTTGAACGCTGTATAAAAGTGCCAGAAATTTTAATAAACGAACGCGAATGAGGATACACCGAGTACACTTTTTGAATAAACGAACGGTAAAGTCAAGCTCGGAGAACTCAGACCAAAATAACGAACGCACGGTTAAGTCTGAACTCAGCCTTTGACGTAAGTTTGTTCACAACCTGTGAAATGCGTTCCAATACTCCATTTGTAATAGTTGTATTCCTTTCAAGCAGTGATGTGCCTGTAGACAATGTCAACGTAAACAATTGATTGTCTACGTGTAGACAATTCGAATTGTTTACGTGGGCATTTGTCTACACATTGTCTACATGTGACGTAAACAATAAAGTTATTTTAGAAAATTTAAAAAAAAGTTCCAAAATTACTACTACCTAAGTAGCTTATACCTATCACTTTGATATTAGCATTCACTGATTATAAATATGAGGAAAACCGATAATAAAATAATAATAATTTTCGAAAAGGAAAGTGTGAGGTTAGAATTAAACGTCATTTATATTATTTTACATTGTTGACGCGTTGTCTACATTGTCTACATTGTCTACACGTAAAGTAGACAATGAAAGTCTACGTGTAGACGCAAATCCCTGCTTTCAAGAGCTTGAAACACTCGAGCTACTCGCTTCGGTGCTTAGTCGCCCCCTATTTGCAGGGAATATATGCGTGGTGCAACAAACACTTTTCGAAAGGAATAAGCGCGTGAAGCCCCGGGGCTGTTCCGGAGCTCCTCCTAGGTGTGAAAGGAATACAACTATTGATAAATAGCATCAGACACGGCCGCACTAGAATCGACTCAGCCATCGCAGGCAGGCGTATTTCAAGTGAACTGCAAATTAGAATTTTTTAAATATTTATCTTGATTAGCGAAAACGCGAGAACAGAAACTCAGAAATCGCATACAAATATGGTTTGCGTCTATAAAGTGGAAAGGATGCTCTCTAGTCGTTAAGTTTGTTTAGTTTGTTTTATTGACGGACTATGCCATTTACAATATAATTACAAACAATTTCTTCTTGACGTAGAACTGTTGCCGACGTCATCAACGGTGTCGTCAGCGGTTTGTGCTAGCGGTCGTAGTTTAAAATATAAATTTATGGAGAAAAATATTTAGGAGTTATTAGCTTCATCCAACAGACATGAGACTGTCCTAGAACGGTAATTTCCAGTCGTTAATCGGAACAGCGTCCAGTAAATTCAGTACTGGCAGTTGATATCGGAACATAGCCAATAATTCAGATTATGGCAGATATAACCATAATAGTCGTATTCCTTTCAAGAGTTTGAAATACTCGAGCTACTCGCTTCGGTGTTTAGTAGCCCCGATTTGCAGGGAACAGATGCGTGGTGCGACAAACACTTTCCGAAAGGAATAAGCGCGTGAAGCCTCGGAGCTGTTCCGGAGCTCCTCCTAGGTGTGAAAGGAATACAACTTATAATATAACACAAACGAACGCCCCAAAGCAGGAAGTGCTGCTCCGAACAACACAAACAAACAAACCTAGCCGCTTACTCTATAGTTCTTTTCACGTGGCTCCGGTTTAACTAATTGGGTTACAAAACGGTTAGAGAAATGACATAAATCCTTTTCACGTGGCCCCGGTTTAACAAACCGCAACATACCGCAACATACCGCAACATACCGCTCAAATTCGAGTGGCATCGAAGATGTCACTTTGTAACCGGGTTAGAAAACGGTATGTCATTTCTCTAATCGCCTCGGCGATATGGTTACGTCGAGCGGTTAGAAGAAAAAAATATAAACAACGGAGAGCGGGAAAGTTCCGAAAAGTGTAAAAAGTAAATAAAAAGTTGTGTTTCGTATATGATATTATATTTTATGAATTTGAAGCCCGAAAGCCGTTTTTCTTTGTATATAGCCTGATTTACGAGGCCCGTGCATTAGAAATTGTTCAGTTTGCAGGTGGATTAGCATAAATAAATACCACCTAGGGCCGGTTTCTCCCTAGCGGGCACATAATAGCGGGTCACCTCTGGGTTGGTTTTATTTTTAACTCCAGGGTAAGCGTGTGCAGTTGCAGTTGCTATGTTTATCCTGGAGTTATGCTTAACCAGGGGGTGCCTTGCTATAATCTTTGCTATTGGGAAACCGGCCCTAATCTACCTGCTGATGCACGGACTACGTAAATCACCCTGTATTATACTCAAAATATGTACCAGAAACGAGACAATCCCAGTTTACCTACTCGATAGGCTGTTGTAGACTGTAGGTAACGAGAACTTATAAACTTTAGATAAACTGGTTCTAGTAGTCTATCCACCCATGGTCCACATCTAAAGCATTGAACGAAAAGAAATTAAACTACCTACTTTTCACTTTTCCATAGTAGACATAATAGGTAGGTCAGGGGTCAGAATTACACTGACCAACCCAACCTCATATCGAATTTAAAATAACATTTTTCTAACCATTCGTTTTCAAGTGGCATTTTCAGTAATGTCATCACTTGACATACCGCCTCTAACCGTTTTGTAACCTGGTTAGTTTAAACCGGAGCGACGTGAAAAGATGTATACCGTTTTCTAACCTGGTTACAAAGTTACGTGATGGATACCTACCACCTACCACTCGAATTTGAGCGGTATGTTGCGGTTTGTTAAACCGGAGCCACGTGAAAAGAGTTAACATGTTGAGTGCTGAGCCGCTTTCCAGTATGCACATTGGCGCGCTCTGGCGCGCTCCAGAGCACCTCGGGGGCGCCTCGCACTAGATTTGTACCGTTCCAGTATCATGGTGTGAGACTCATAAATGAAAGAGAATCAAAACTATATATTTTAAAATGTTCAATCTTGAGATATAACAAGAAATAAATAGATAAATAGCCACCCACAGATGTGACAGCTGATAGGTTGACGCGTACGAACAGCTCGGGGGCTCAAGCCCCGAGTAGCTCCGGGCGTCACACTCCCATACTGGAAAGCGGCTCTGGTGAACGCGACCAATCTCAAAGGAGACATTTCATTTTTCAGCAAGTCATGAAGTGTCCTAGTGTCAAGTGTCAGCGGCACTGAGTGACTCGCATGTTTGAATAGTTATAAATTTTGTTTACAATTTGCAAGTAATCATGGCTTCAGAGCGCTATAGTTTTTCCCTTACAACTTTCAGGTAATATATTAGCTTCAGCCTCAAATAAAAGTTACTTGAAACTCATACATTTTTAAACAAATTCCTCTTTGCAGCCCCTCTGGAAAATTAGTGCAAATTGAATATGCCTTGGCTGCAGTGAGTGCTGGAGCCCCATCAGTAGGAATTAAAGGTAAACAGCTCCTATTTATCCACAATTTGCTCACGACCAAAATATATCCTCTTAAAATTATATTTCAATCTTTCATGAAAATAATGCCACAATAACCACATGATGTGTGTAGGTATCAAAATGAGACCTTCATTTTACAATCTCATCATTATTTTCTTATTAAACTTATAATCCCACTTCACTTATAACATTTTGTCGAATCTCCTTTAGCTTCCAATGGGGTAGTGATCGCCACTGAAAACAAACACAAATCCATCCTATACGATGAGCACAGTGTCAATAAAGTTGAGATGATCACTCAACACATCGGCATGGTCTACTCAGGAATGGGGCCAGACTACAGGCTTCTTGTGAAGCAAGCTCGTAAGATGGCTCAGCAGTATTTCTTGGTTTACAGGGAACCAATCCCAACTGTGCAGTTAGTACAACGAGTTGCTGCTATTATGCAGGAGTACACTCAATCGGGAGGTAAGATATTCTGTTCACAATTGTTGGTATATTATATTAAGTTTAACTAACTTTATTAAGTAACGCCCGATTTATTCATCTTCAAATAAACTTGTTGGTAATTATCTGTAGTGATGTAAAATTCCCGAAACATTCAAAAGCTGCGAACATTCTCGGAAACTTTCCGGGAATATTGGAAACTTTCGGGAACTTATGGAAATATTGTTTTTTTTCAATTTATAGCTAAATCGGACAAGTCATAGTAAGCTTCATTTACCTATTATTGTAGTGTACTGACTATAGACTATAAACCAAGAAAAACACCTATTTTTTTCTGTAAGATCAGCTAAAAATTAAACTATGTAGCAAAAACACTTTTATCGACGGTTGAATAAGGCTTCAAAGGAAAAGCTGATCCGATTAACCCAATCTCCCAGCTCTTTATTTTTTATCTTTCTTCAATGGAGATTATTTCAAAAAAAGACAAACCTTAGGCATTAGGCTGTAGGTACCTACATCAGCTGGTGATCGGGTAAATCGGATCAGCGTTTCTGTAAAGACAGTTGGGCTGGGTATGTCATCCACATAAAGTGAAATAAAGTCACTGAGACCTTGTATTCACAATTATCTCGCATTTTTATAAAGTTCTTCTGGAAAGTTCTTGGAAATATTATTGAAAGTTCTTGGAAATATTCTCGAAGTTCTCGGAAATATTCTTTTGAGAGTTTTTGATTGAAAGTTTCCGGGAATATTCTCATTCAGGAGAACGTTTCTATTTTTTATCGGCGAATATTCCCATGCGAATATTCTCGACTCACATCACTAATTATCTGTAAGATAAGTTTACCAATCTATAATCCCATTAGTCGGTAGATAACTGGCTGACAATTGGGATTACAGATTGTGTTTTTATCTGACAGAATGTAAATCAACCAGCCCTTAAGCCGAATATTTGTTGATTTATCTTTGGAAAAAACTCCCAAAATTGTATATTTCCATCTATTCAATTTTAATTTTTGCCAATGGGCCAATGGGTCCTCAGGGGTTTCCAACTTTCTTTATGCTAAGACGAATTTTAATTGAAAATATCATAAGGAACATAGCAATATGAGTAGTTACTAAACAGGAAGATTAATCTCAAACAATCTGGATTTTTCTATTGCTAAAAGTGCGTACTATGCACTGGTTGAGAGCCATATCCGCTATGGAATATGCTTTTGGGGTTGTTGTTCTGACTTTTTATTTAATTCTGTATTTGTTTTGCAAAAAAGAGCTGTGCGTTATATGTGTTATGCTAAACCTCGTGATTCGTGTCGTCCATTTTTCTTGAAACATGCATTGTTGACTATTAGTTGTATTTTTATTCTTGAAACTGTCTGTCTTGTTTTTCGAAAATATAAGTCCACTCATTTACGTGATAATCCTTATGAAACCAGACAAAATTTCAATATTAGGTTGCCTTTACCTCGGTCGGAACTTGTTAGGAGTTCTGTTATTTACTGTGGTAAGAAAATGTTCAACCATTTGCCTCTTAACTTCAGAACGATTAATTCCGAAAAACAGTTTAAAAAGCACACCAGAGATCTTTTGCTCAAAAAGGCATATTATACTTTGAATGAGTTTTTCCATGATAGCTTTAATTGATTTTTTTTATATATACCGGGTGTTTTTCAAAAGCCGCTCACCCCTATAACTTTTTTATTTTTAAAAATAAACAAATGAAATTTGGTACGCTTATTTATGACCCGAAAGTGCATTATTTGACGTATTGAATTATTTTTTATCACTTCCGGTTTAACCGGAAGTGTGACCCTAACTTTCTTATTTTAAATGAGACGCCAGGTCTATTTTCCCTTATTTCAATAGAAAACTACATTACGAGTACAATGACACCTCATTTGTCACTTTTTGACATTTCATCTCCAAATTATTTCAATTTTCAGTTTTTAATCTAGAGCGTCATGAATTAGTTAAAATGCTTAATTTTGTTCCAAGGAACCTGGGAAAATTTGTTTTGATCTCATTTTGTATTTTATATCCTCAACAGACTCATTTAAAGATAGTAGAAGCGCATTTTTGGGATTATATCCATTTTTTCAAATGGAAAGGGTATGGCTCATTAGCATATTCCGAGAGAGCATTTTCTAACGAACAATTTAGTACCACACAGTCACTAGTCTATTCAAATATTGAACTAAAATTTTCCAAAAATATTTAGAATGCTAGGAAAATTCTTCATTTGAGTGATGAAGTAGCGATTGTGTGGTACTGAATTACTCGTTAGAAGACGCTCTTTTGGAATATTGTAATGAGCCACACCCTTTCCATTTGAAAAAATTGAGATAATTACCAAAATGCACTTCTACTATTTTTTAATGAGTCTGTAGAGGATATAAAATACAAAATAAGATCAAAACAAATTTTCCCAGGTTCCTTGGAGCAAAATTAAGCATTTTAACTAATTCATGGCGCTCTAGATTGAGAAGTGAAAATTTAAATAATTTGAAGATGAAATGTCAAAAAGTGACAAATGAGGTGTCATTGTACTCGTAATGTAGTTTTCCATTGAAATGATGAAAAATATACCTGGCGTCTCATTTAAAATAAGAAAGTTAGGATCACTTCCGGTCAAACCGGAAGTGATAAAAAATACTTGAATACGTCAAATAGTGTACTTTCGGGTCATAAATAAGCATACCAAATTTCATTTGTTTATTTTCAAAAATAAAAAAGTTATAGGGGTGAGCGGGTTTTGAAAAACACCCGGTATATATATATTTTTTTTTTCTCCTTTTGATCCTTTTTTGTGCTTCTTTTCTTTTAAATTTTTTGAATTGTGTTTTATTAAGATAAGTGTGTTGTTTGTTTATGATATTGTTGTTTATATTATTTTTACTTTGTCCAGTATACACATTCTGTTTAAATTTATGTTTTTAATTTTATACATTTTTATTAAATTTTGTATTCTACTTTTATTTGCTATTTTTAGTGTAATTTTTATTTAATTTTAAAACTCTTCTATGAACTTTAATTTTTTTTTTTTTATTTATAACATGACATGCATTTGTATTTACTTTTTTTTATTTTCTTTATTGTATCTTTTTATGTTAAGGCTTTGTCTACAAATGTTTATTTTTTATGACTATAAAGCTAATTTTGAATTTTGAGGATACATTTTTTTTCTACGAGTTTGCGGAAAAGTGTACTTTTCAGCATGTGTCTTAATTTGGAAAGTTTCACTTTCATGTCATTTTTCAAATTATAAGCGACACACTTACACAAATATTAGCATTGAGAATTATTGAAATTATTGAAACAATTATTAAATTATTTTGGTTTAAACTTAACTTTTCTTGTCAAGTTACGAACTAATGGTTACTTTATGCTTAAAAATTTCGAAAATTCCATAGTACATCAAACGTACAAATTATTGTTAAAAATTCTCGATTTTATTGTCTTCAGAATAAGGCACAATATTTCAAAATTAGTTATTTTTTATTATTAAATAAATAAGTTTTACTTGTAAGAGTAACCTATATTCAGAAAAAAATACTCGATTAGTTTTTAATACCAAATGTTGCAAAAGAAATGTTGTCAAATATTTACATTATCTAATTAGGTATGTTTCTTCCTCGGTTTCTTCTATCTCGTAGAAAAAATAGTGTTCCTAACTCGTGCGGAAATTCTCTTTTTCTACTGACGTTTCATAATAACAACTTTTCGATTGTCATTTTAGTTTCAAAACGACATTCTTTTAAGCACTGAGTGCGTGAAAGTTACTTTTAGGCACTCAGTGCGTAAAAGTGACTTTTGAATGCGTAAAAGTGACTTTTAGGTGCGTAAAAGTGATTTTTAAGCACTAGTGCCTAAAAGTGTCATTCATTGTTCAGAAATAAAAAAACACACTAAACACAGATTTGAATTTTGATCTGTATTTATTATGAATATTAAAAATTAAATTATTGAATTGAACGTTTGGGCTACTCAAAACAGAACTTTTTGTTGTTACCTACTTTCCAGGATTTTAATTATTGATGTCGAATCTTGAAAAAAAATCGCATCAGGTGTCAAGCAAAAGCAGGTAACAAAGATTTTGGGCTTGATCGGCTTATTCACATGAAATAAAATTGTGTTTTTTTATTATAAAAGGCCAGTAGAAAAAATCTTGTATGCAATACGTTACGAAACGATGTCTTTTAGTCACTCGACGTGTTGTCCAACTCGGCTTTGCCTCGTTGGACAATTTTCACGTCGCGTGCCTAAAAGACGCTCATTTCGTAACTTATTGTATAAATAGCTATTTCCTCACTTGATTACTGAAATCGCATGCGGGAAAGTGGCACTTTCCGCACTAGTTAGGAAATATAGTATTTCATAATTCAGACATTTGACAGCTTCTTATTTGGATAATGAATTTGAGAATAAATATTACATCATTTGAATTAGAAAATTCCTGAAATAACCTTGGAAATAACAAAACTAAACTTCAGCTCATAATTTTAGAGCCTATTAATGTTTTTTTTTTTTTTCTGTGTATAATAAATTTCATGTAAAGTTTCACTTTACCAAAGTTGAAAGAATGGCTCTCTTTCAAGAATATGTAGCGCCCCTTGCTTTTTTATTGTGTAGAATCCCTTGAGAAGTCTTATTTGTGTTGGTAAATCAGTTTTTAAATAATTTGTCCCATCACTCTACCTGTATGTTATTGAAAAATGCTAATTTGTTTTTTTTTTTCTACAGGTGTGAGACCTTTTGGAGTATCACTCCTCATATGTGGTTGGGACAACGATAGGCCTTACCTTTTCCAATGTGATCCATCTGGCGCTTATTTTGCATGGAAAGCTACTGCAATGGGGAAAAATTTTGTTAATGGAAAGACTTTCTTGGAGAAGAGGTGAGACTTTTTGCTTGAAAATTGATTTTGATTGAAATTACAGACTTGAAGAATAGTAAGAGAGTGGTAATGGTGGTATTGGAAAACATTGGACAGATCAAAATTATTACAACAAAAAACAGAATGGGTATCTGGGAGACAGGACACAATATGCACACACTTATTACCTATCCAAACAAAATAGTGGAATAGACATTTAGACAAAAATGCTCAAAATCATATTCCTGTGATCCTAAAGAATGAGAAAGTACATCTCGCTGGCAGCTGGAGTGGTCCCTAACTCTCCTGCCATTTCCCAATGCAAAGCTATATTGAAAATATCACAATTTCATGTCATTTCACAATAATTCCTATTGATTGTACCTCCTAAGGCTTTCTTCTCAAGCACTCAAAATAAATTACCTACCACGTGTTGGATATCTTTGCAATTCTGCTCCAAAATATACACAAGCAAAAGACGACTGCGAGATTGTACAGGGTCATCAAACGATGACTAAACAGTGGATTATTTTTTACCTTCCCTATTCCTGTAGTTTTGAACAAATTCAAAATAGCCAATTGGCATTTTTTTTTCTGGAGCGGTACACAAAAATCATTTGAACCAAAAACCAAAGAGTTATGCCATGGGTGATCTGTTTCAAATGAAACACCTTGTTTTTGTATGATTTTTGGAGAAGTTGCATTTTTTACGTCTATTCTGTTGAAAATATTCGATATTCCGCTGTTTTTATTTTATTTTAATGTTTTTGAGCTTAATAATTTTAGCTTTTCTTTTTCAATTCAATAGGTTCATAGGTGATAGAGGTATAATCACCTTTTGTTCAAAGTCAAAAGAAATTTAACATATTTTGTCGCCATCACAGATGCATTGAATAGGTGAAGTTAAAACATTAAAATAAAATAAAAATAGCTATCGGAATATCAAATATTTTCAAAGGAATAGACGTTAAAAATGCGACTTCCAGAAATTATATAATAAACAGGATGTTCCATTTGAAAAACAGTTCATCCATGGCGTAACTCTTTGGTTTTTAGTTCAAATGATTTTTTGGTACCATTTTTGAATTCTCCAGAAAAAAAAAGCCAATTGTCTATTTTGAATTTTTTCAAAATTACAGGAACGGGGAAGGTCAAAAATAAGCCCCTGTTCAGACGTCGTTGGAGACCCTGTACATCTCGCAGTCTGCTTTTACTTGTGTATATTTTGGAGCAGAATTGCAAAGATATCCAACACGTGTAGGTAATTTATTTTGAGTGCTTGGAAAGAAAGCCTTAAGTACAATCAATAGAAATTATTGTGAAATGACTTGAAATTGTGGAAATTGTGATATTTTTCATATAACTTTGCATTAGGGGATGGCAGGAGAGTTAGGGACCACTACAGCTGCCAGCAAGATGTACTTTCCCATTCTTTAGTATCACAGGAATACGAATTTCATTCTTTCTGCCGGTCCTCACATTTTGCATACTCAACTACTTGTAGTGCGTGCTCTAATTTGATTCTGGTTTATGGCAGGAATATAAATAAGTTCTATTTATTTATTTAATTGCTACAAACCCTACGTAGAGTGGGTTGGTTGAGCAATTAGTTTAAATATCACAGATTCATAGATTACGAATTACAATATTTCCTAGATAAGATTTTCAAATCCCTGAATTATTTTTGGGGGTGTAGATAATTTTTAGTGCTGTTTCTACATGTTTCATCCAAATTTTCACTTTCAGTTCAGTTTTGATCAAGTGGTAGTAACATTAAAATTCCCTCTAGTGTTGTGGAAAGCGCTGAACTCAAATAATTATTTTTCGATCCCTGATTCTTTTACTATTATTTATCCATCAAGGTACACTACTAGTAATCCCTCGAGTAATCCACATTCACCTTCAACAATTTCAAGTTTATTTGAAGCAAGGTTCTCATATTACGGTTTTGTTTTTAGATACAGCGAAGATTTAGAACTAGATGATGCTGTTCACACTGCAATTTTAACTCTGAAAGAAAGTTTCGAGGGCCAAATGACTGCTGACAACATTGAAGTAGGAATTTGTGATCCGTCAGGCTTCAAAAGATTAGATCCATCTCATGTTAAAGATTATTTGGCAAATATTCCATAACTTTATGTAATGCATTCATACATTTTTTAAGTAATAAAAATATGAACTTAATAAAAACTTTTTGAAAAAATGATGAATGGTATTTTTATTTTCTTTACTCAATTCTTGATGACAAATAAACTTGTTTGTGTGTCCCTATCCATAAAAAGGGGACATATCGTTAGTGGAAAACTGTAGGCCCTCCTGTCAGTGTTCTCGAAGATTTTCGAAAAGGCATTTCGAGGAAGACTGATGAGTTTTTTGGATAAGTTCAACATCTTAACATGTCGCCAGTTTGGATTTAGGATTGGCCGCTCAACGACCAATGCCATCTTGTCCTATCAAAAAATAACACAACTTCAACAAAAATTTGAAGTCGGTGGGTATATTTTAAGATTTTACTAAAGCCTTCGACACTATAGACCACAACAAACTCTTGAATAAAATATCTCACTATGGCATACGAGGACCGGTGTACAACTGGGTTGCGACTTATCTAAGTGATAGAACCTAATGTGTTAAATTATTAAATGGGGGAAATTCGACATTCTCAGACTGGACAAATGTTCGATTTGGTGTACCGCAGGGTAGTGTGTTGGGGCATATCTTGTTCCTATTATTTATAAATGACTTACCACTGTATGCGAATGACTGTTTTGTTACACTGTTCGCAGATGACACTTCTACCGTTGTCGAAGATGTAGGGTATGAAGGGCTATGTCGGAGGGCAAATGAGTGTCTGCAGTGATTCTGATTGGTGCAGGGCTAATGGGCTCTGTCTGAATGGCACCAAAACGAGTTCTGTGCTATTTGCACCCATGAGAGTCCCCCAAGACAGAGGTCTGCTTATCAGGGATGGATCCAACAGTCTTGTTCAGGGGGACTCTGTTAAATCTTGAAATTTCATTGGACCACCATCTGTCTTGGAATGATTAAGTTATGACACCATTTGCAAAAGATTGTCAACAAAGAACTTTGCCATATTAAAGCTTAGGGACCATGTGAATCACAAATACTCTGAAAACTTTTTATTAGGCTGCAATAAACTCTATTCTGTCGTACAGTCTTCTCGTGTGGGGTAACTCCACGGATATTGCCAGGGTCCTGATTTCTCAAAAAAGAATAATAGGACAATGCTTCGAATGCCGTTTGGAGAATCCAGTCGCCAAATCTTTAAGGCCGAAAGTATATTTACGGTCATAAATATGTACATTTTACAGAGTGCATGTAAAGTAGGATTATCTTTGCACTTTGCTGAGAGTTAGAAAAGATGTCAATGTTTTCTATATAGTTGGTAAGGCCTCTCTGCCAAATTTTTTATCAGATTAACAGCTCATTAAAGAATTGTATTGTGTATTTTGTACAATCAAAGTCTAGCTTTGAGTCATTTAAGTTGCCTTTGCTGTGCGTTCACCACTTATCAGAAATGGTACATGAGAGTTAGAAAAGATATTAAAAATGCAATTTTACTCTCATTTTCGACATTTTATCTTGATATCTCGAATCAAAAGCTTTTTTAGCCAAACTTAGACCATTTTGTGATATTTAACTTATTTTTTGAAGTCACTAGTAGTTCGGCAATTTTCGGAACAATGGCCGCTAACATTTTACTGCCAAGTTCAAACCATCAGTGACTGCTGAAGCCAAAATACAAATTTTCCAGAATAGGTGCATAGAGACACACATTGGACACAAGATAGTCAAACGTGAAAAATAAAACACTGAAACATAGTTTTTAATACATATTTATTTCCCATCTTTTGGACCCTATACAATTTTTATAACTAAGTACATTGTCAGGTAATACAATCTTTGTTTGGAATGCTTTTCTGTATAATCTGAAAGGAGATAGAAGAGGGCAAGATGGTGGGGTGAGTAGGTAATACAAATATTTGACTAGTATCAACAAATTATACTCTTCAAAATTGTACTCAGACAAACGCGGCGCAACCCCAAAATTCAATAAAAAATATTTCATTTTGCACCGCCCAAGTAGCACAATAATTCAGATATAATATTACCCAATACGACATGTTTGTATTTATAATTCTAATTTATTCCAACAAATTTATCCGACACATTTTACAATATTTAAACTAGTTATTTAAATCTACTTTTTAATTGTTTCATTATTACAATATAAAGATATGCGTTCCCTGGTTGATAACCAGTTTTTTTCTCTAAGGCTAGGTCCCTAGTGACTTATAGTTTAAGATTTTCCAATATTATTATGGGAAATTTGTCTTTTTTCCCATTCAGATTTCTCTGTTAAAGCGTACATATGTATTCAGTTATAAAATACCAAAAAATCTTAAAATTAGTCATCAAGACCAACATGCTCTTTAGCTGGGTACAAATACATAGCTACACAGCATATGATTATACAATTATTATTTATTTATTGTTAAATATAATGCTTCTATAATTTGACCTCTGTTCCCTATGCGCATTTTCCCAAAAATTTCTATAATGCTCTCCTAGTGTAGATAAATTAATAACTATTGCAGTTCAACTTTTTACAAGAATTGACATTATTGAGTTAGTACTTATTTTTACTTGTTTACTCACCACACAATATTTTTTATTTATTTATTTTTTTTTGTAAGAAAAGGTTGATGTTGGAATTGTTTCGTCACAGAAATAGCCTATTAACTTAAATTTTTGAACCCTCAATCTACACTCAAATATTAGCCTAATTTAAAACATTATAGAATTGTATTAATAAAAGGGGACAAGGTCTTATTTTGTTGTGTGTAAATATACTCCAGCATTAGCGCAGATTTTCAAGAAATTGAGTTTTATTTTATGTCTCAATATTATTCTCCTACTTTGTAAATCCATATCTTAAATATTATCAAATAGATTATTAAACACTAAAAATTTAAGATGTCACTTGACAAGGGGCACAGATCATGATATGTTTGGAAAGTTTTATTATTTTATTTTTTTATTTTAATTTTTTACTAAATATAACCCTATTACCTAAAGCAGAGAAGGCGATTGTGGCTAGTTCATAATATAACGTTGATAATTTATCACATTAATTTTGGTCGCAAATTTATATAACTCTCGATAATGATGAAGAACTTATCAGAAAACCAAAAGTTTAATTGATATTGCTTGTTTTAGTGAGAGTGGGTTCAAGTAGGTAGGTACCCATACACTGATGTAAAAAATGATAAATTTGATGTAAATTAGTCACTCTAGTCAGAAAACCAAATTCTCAAAACCAGTATAATTCATTTTATTGTTAATAAAAGGTAAAACATTGATAGAAAAATATTGCTTTGTGGTCGAATGTAGTTTTTCAATTAATAATAGGTTTTATTAAAGTTATTTTGAGTTTAATCGAGAGTTATATCAAATATTTTATGCCTCAATTCGATTTCCGATTACACGCCAAAAAGTTCAAAAAAGAAAATTTGCGACTCTAAAACTCATCGACATAAAAAGTTATTGGTAAGTATATTTTTACTTTAAGAACCAACAAACCACTCACATGTTCGATTAAATATATTAACAGAGTTACAAGACGACATCTAAGGGTCGGATTGCATAATACATAACAAGTACTTATAATTCTTATTACTTTTTTTTTTTTAAATTAATTTATCAATTAATTAAGCTGATATGTTTCATGTAGTTCCCGAAAATGACAGGATCGCCAGTTAATGTACACTGTGACCCGCACCCACCTTACCGTGAGACCCGTGCACTATATATGGCACAGAGCCTGCTTTCACAAATATAATATGCCTGTTTTATTGACATATTATATTAAGTTTTTTTATTTGGACGGAAATATGACGCAGAACGGGATGTTTTGATTGTCTTCTGACGAAAGTGTTTGTTAAAATAATCCCTACGATTTTAGGTATTTAGTTAGAGAATTTCTTGAGTGAAATACATATGCCTTGTTTTGAACACATCAACAGTAAATTATCAAAGTTTATTTCTCTCGATGTTACCTAGGTGAGCGACGATTATTTTTTATTGGGCTTACAGAAATTATGTATTTGTATTTTTTTGTTGAATCGAGATATTTCAGGGTTATTGATTGAAGTTTTTAAAACGCTAGAGATCTACGATATAAAGCACAAAATGGCATGGCACCTTATTTTTTGTAAATAGGTACCCATATCTCCCTTAAAAGGAAGCAAAAGTTCCAAATAGATTAAACCGGCAGCTGATGGCCAATATGCAATTTAGCTGTCAATCTATGATACCCATGACTCGTTTAAAGCAGTGATTGACATAATATGGAACTGGATCCTTCCGAACGATGCATCAGTTTTCTGGTGGTAAGATTTCCAATACTGCTACAAGAAGTCATTATACTGCTCTTGCATGAAGGTAATGATTCTAATAACCTACCAAGACCATTCATTGATTGTAGTTTTACTTAGTTTTTAAAAAATTCTAAAAAAACTGTTTAAGGCATGAAAGCATGTTCAACAGAAACTTACTTTAGAAGTTTGTTTATATGCTTCTAGAAGAAGGTGCGTGTAACACTTACTATTTTTGAGTTTCTCAACAGTCTTTGAGCATCTACCTTAGTTTAAACTTGGTACAAGTGGCTTTGGCGGGGCGTGATTTGTTGAAATCTATCGACTGAACAATTAATGGAAAAATTAAGTAGGTAAATCAGCAACATTTTAGACCAAGAAGTGACTGTATAACAGTCAAAAGCAGGAAAGAAATGTTGAACCAAAATACAGAATATCTCATGAAATCAAAATATGATAGACAGATACAAAGCAAATAACAATATCCTAAGTCAACAAAAAAAGACATTTCCAAATATGTCAGACATGATGTTCGAACATATAATAACAAACATACTAAAGGAATTGAGGATAAGTACCTAATAGGAGTTTAGTGAAATCTTGCTGGAAGTAGAAGAAATATTCCGTTCAAAGTATTGGATCTGAGGATATTCTAGTATTTCTATGCACAAAATCTCATCTTCTTTCTCGGAAATGAAATACAATAGATCACCCAGGAGATGAATAGTTATTTGTATACCAAGGCCGCGAAGTGCCTTTTAGCGTACGTAGAGAAAAGTTATCGCCGAGGCCGCTTGCGGCCGAGGCAA